TTCTTCTAAAATCATTTTCATTAACCAACCAAGCTAATTTAGTAACCAACCGATTAACAAAATTAGATCAGTTCAGTTGGTTAAGTCTATTAAAATCGAATTATGAACACCTCTATATAAAGGTTTTTTGTTGATCTAGGATATATTCCGTCATTTTCTCAACATTCTTTGATTGATAAGGGAGTGGAAGCTGACATGATGTAAAAGAATAATGGACAAGATAAGAAAAATCAAGCAAAAACTCAATCAAAAGTCATTCAATGAGTTGCCTCAGTTTTTTTAGACCTAAAAAGAAAGAAAAAAATGAAAATTCTAGTTAAAAATGATGGGAAATGCAGAGAAAGGGATTTTTTTGTTTTTGGAAAAATTAAGGAAAGATAATGGAAATTCTAAATAGTCATGAATATTTAAAGACATAAGAAAATGAATGACAAGATTGAAAGTGAAAAAATAGAAATTCTAAAAATGAAGACATGAGATTGAATGATAAAAGAAAAAATGATAGCTGTACTTAAAAATGAATGGGAATAAATGATAAAAATTGAAGACATTGAATTTTTTTTTCTTTTAGAAATTGTGAAAGAATTTCAAAGAAAATGAATTCACATGAACAATCATATGAGGTTTAAAGGAAAATGAAAAACTCGTGATGTAAATGTCAATGACATGAAGAACTTGAGCTACAAACAACCAAAAGATATGCAAACACACATAATTAAATGTCATCTTTAAAGATAGTATCTAAGGTTTGTTTGTATGCAAAAAGGTCCATAATTCCATCCTTATTTCTCCCCAAGGTCCAATGGCCAACCATAACGACAGTCTAGCCTACATCGCTATGGTGAATCATTAGGTAGATCCAATACGTCATTTAAACCCATCTTAGGCCAAGCCTAGGTGGTACAAAATTCTAAGGAAAGCTGACTAATCAAGTAGACCTAAACTCTCAAGGAATCTTGTCTCGGGTTAGGTTCGCATGATGCATTAAGAGATATGATTTGAAATCCTCATCACCTGGAATAGGGATCACAATAAATGCATAAAAAGTTACAAAATCTCCACAAATGAGTCACCATTGTAGGTAGTGCGACCCTTTTGTTCCTTGTGCTCGTCTTATTTTTGAGATCCATAGTTTAATTAGAAATTGCCAATCGATTTATTTATATCATGGGAATTGATGCTAGTTTCGAGGTCATAATCTTGTTTTTACCAAAGAACTTCGGTCAAAGATAGTAAAAGGAATATTAAAGGAATCAAAGCTTCAAATCTCATTTGGTATAAACAAAGCCTTTACTTTTCCACTGTACACCATATCCCAACTGGCTTACAATTAAAGAGTATAACATTTTGTTTTATTCTTAATGGCATGCAATTTATGAGCAATTTGTACGTTTTTGCATTTAGAAAGTTACATGAGCAGTGGCAACCTCGAGTGGTTTATCCATGATTAGATGACAAAGTCCATGTTATCAAGCAAAAGTAAAGTAGTTCATGCTGTTGTTATAAAGGTAAAAAAAGGTAACTAAAGAAACATGCAATGCAACCTAACCTAAATAGCATACTTTAGATTAAAATTAATAAAATGCCTTTGGGCATATTTAATGCAACCCTTTTCATACCTAATATATATGACACAATTATTTGTTGCATTCCAAATATGGATTTACACAATAACATATTCACTTCTTTTAAGGAAAAATAAAATAATAAAAATATTTAAATGGCATACCACCATGCTTTCATAAAATTACATGATGTGTGATCATAAACAATATGTCACATGCTCATTATGTAGGTAATGAGAGGTTTAAAGATGATTAAGGGATCATAAAATATACTGGTAGATTTGCCTAACAAAATTTATATTATAGCTCTAGATCTTAGCTTGTGAGTTGGGTTAAGTTGATCAAAGTTTCATCTTTACTAATGTAGATACTTGATTTTGGTTATTAATATTTTATTCTTTTAAAATTTTGTAAAATTATTAAAATTGAGAATAAGTCAGAACATGTGATAAGAATATTTTAATGAATGTTATTTTATGGAATAGCTATTCATGTAACAACTTTTTTACAGAATAGTTGTTTATAAAACAATTATTCAAGAAACAACTCTTTCATGGAACAATAGCTTCACAAAACATTTATTTTTGGAACTACTTTCTCAAGGAACAAGACCAACACCTTTACCAAAAACTCTTGTATTAAAAGTTCTTCACTAAGAGTTATTCCATAAAAAACAAATATTATTTTATCGAAAGAAGAAGTGAAAATAACCTTAGAATATGACAAGGTTCTTGGTTTAATTCCACTATTGAAATATTCTAAATATGTTGGCTTGATGGATTAGATATAGAGATAATTAAGAGGTTTTCTTTTAACTTTTCCTTAAAATATAAGTACTTTTTACTTTTCTTTAGAATATATAGTGAACTTATATATTCACTATACATATTATCATAAAGCTAATTAAACTCTCATTAAACAATACATTAATACCTTTTGTAATGATCAATTCTCCATTCACCATTATTCCTATTTAATATTCAAGATATGTAACTATTATTCTTGAAACCTATAAATCTGAGTTTCCTCAATTTATTAGGGACTTTTGGGAAACTTTTGGCAAACTTACTCAATACTCTCTTCCTAAATCCTTTTCTCAGTCTTATTCTCTTCTTTACTCAGCCTTACTTCATCACTTGCTGTTACACTCAATACTTCAAAATCTACTCCAATCTTCCTCTTTGCCTTTTCCTGGCACCATCATGTTCTACTTGTTTGCAACACTTTCTTACCTCAACAAAGAACCTATTTACAACTACGAATCTTATATTCAAGTTAATTGTCAAGTAAAGTTTTAAATTGATCAAGAGTGTTTGCAAGAATTTTAGTCTAGCTAGGACTCTTCTTATAGAATTTTATTGGAATTAAAACTTTATGAGAGTTTTAATTAGACAATGACTCTTGAAATAAGAGTTTTTATTAGAGTACGACTTTTTGGGATAAGAGTTTTGATTGGATTGAAACTATTAGGATAAGAGTTTTGGTTGGATTAAGACTCATTAGATAGAGTTTTGGTTAGACTAAGATTCTTAGGATAAAAGTTTTGGTTCGATTTAGACTCATTGAATAGAGTTTTTGTTAGAATGAGATTCTTAAGATAAGAGTTTGGGTTGGACTAGAACTGTTAGGATAAAAGTTTCAACTAGACCTTTCACTATCTACTAACCAAAAATAATAACCATACCTCACTTCTCTTCATGTTTTCAAACATGGCAAACCCGAACTGAGACCCTCACTAACCAGCTATCAACCCCAACAGATCTAACGATCTTATCCCTCTCTAATGTTAGCTTCAACGAGCATCATTTATTGAGTTTCTATTCTCAAGGTTAGTTTTGGGTGTTTTAAGTTTATGCTAGGGATTTGGTTGTTGTTATTATGCTCCAATAATTGGTATAAAACTCAAACTCCTTGGGTAAAGTTTTGGTTGGATTGGATTTGTTTGGTTAATATGGCAATAAAGATATGGTTAGGATGATGTGGCAAGGTTTAAGTAAATAGTTTTGGTGACAAGCCAAAGATGAGGTGATAAGATAGTTTGGTCAAAGGGTGGCATTAATCGACAATGAGCATTACTGATTAGTGGTGCTTAGCAGGCTAAAGTTTCATATGAGATGATTTGGCAAAGATCTAGGTCTCAAAGATTTAGGCAGAGGCTACTATGAAACATCGAGGCTTTAAGCATCTAAGATAAGCTAATTTAAACTTTTGGGGGAATCCAAAGGATTAAGAAAAGGAAGAAAGCTTTTTGGAGGAGGAAAAGGAAAGGATTTTCTCTTGGCTGTTGTTGGTTAAAATGAAGAACAATAGGGGCTTATTTATGATAGAGGGATGAAGAGAGGTTGAGTGTCGGCCAAGTAGTGAAACTCTATAAAATGAGAAGGATAATCCTAAGGATAATTTACCAAGATATATTTTCAAGAAAAATCACATTTACCCCCAAAATTATCTTAATAAGCGATTTATTTTGATTTTTATCTCAAACAATCGTCAGCTGATAATATGATTTTGGAAAGATAAATCTCAAAATTATAAAATTAATTACAAAATTCAACCAAAAATAAACTAAGCCGATTGGTATATGCAATCGTCAATCGGCATCCATTTCTAATGTCGTAGGCCCTACTTTAAATGGTCATAACTTTCTTATCCAATGTCAGAATTAATTGATCTTTATATCATTGTAAAACTTAGTTTAGATTTTAATAAACTAATTTCACCAAAAAATTAAAAAATATGTCAAATTTCAAGATATGCTTTGAATTTCAAACATATTAAATACTAATTATATTTATTATTTAAGCTTATAATATATCAAAAAAATGGAAATTGATTTGCTTCTTTCAATATGTAAAGTTTATCCAATAATTTCAAGTATTTTAAAAATTATGATTATCAAAATTAGACAACATAAAAATTAAAATAAAGTTTTTTTTAAATGATTTCAGAATCAACTTTAATACTTAAGTACCAAGTTAATTCCGCAAAGCTCGAAATTTTCCAGACCCCCAAAAAAAAAATCAAGTGTACAAAATCTTTTAAAATCTTATATTATTAAGGTGCGGGAATTTCGATCTTGCAATATCAACTAAATATAGATTGAAATCTTATACTTTATTTGTTTCACAAAAAATTACTTCTAAATAATATTTTTAGTATTTTCAATATTTTAATAATTATATCAATATCATTTTTAAAAAATTCAAAAAACAATTAAAAAAATAGTTTATATTAATTCATTTAAGCAACAAAAAAAATTTTATTTTTGAAAAATATATATTTTTTATAAAATATTTTCTAAAAGTTAATTTTCACAGAATAAAGGGAGATTTAATATATACCTTCGAAACATATAATGAAAACTATCCTAATTCGCACTAGCTGGTTTACTAGCATAAACAGTGCCTTGTAGTTTAAAAAAGGCAGCTAAGAAATGATAGGGCCTTTGATGAACTTTTTCAGTTATTTGGACATATATCACGGGATAAAACTGGAATGAGACGAAGTAATGCAGGGCCTAGTCATAGAAACAAGAGTTCACGACACACTTAAAAGGAAAAATGACTCACATCAAAATGGGTGAGTCCAAAAATATTAGTTAAGATTCATGAGTTCAGCTTCTTAAGAATATTTTTATCCATAACGTTTGAAGGCACTACATTCTACCGTACTTGCAGTTCCAAGAGTCTTCATCAATCCATTTTGTATTTCTCTTTCTTTATTCTGGCACAATGCTATCAATTTTGAATAGCAATCCAACTTTATGGGAAAACGCCAGGACGATTATTATAATTCAATACATATCACTCTCAAGTATGGCATTCAGCTGTATTTGTGAGCTTTGAATGTCAGTTTTGGGTTGCGGATGTCATCCTGGCTTTGAATCAGGCGTATCTCCAAACTGCTCGATTGAGGATCAAATGCAGCACTTGTATAGTCATTCACCGTCCTCTGCAGAAGTGCCTGCATAAAAGTCGAACTATGAATGAAATATGGTTTTGAAGATAAAATATTCACTCAGAATAAAACTGCAAGGAATTGTTGATTACACATACCAAATAGACACCAATGATGATCAAGTACATATTAAGTGCACAAGATCAAAAGTAGCTTTGCCATCATATAAATGCCTATGGTTGCCAGAAATCAGCCTAAGATACTCAGACATGAGGACACAAAGCAAACAAACATTCCATCTGAGCCCAAAGCAAGATGGGGGTATAACCACCGTAAATCTCTAGTGAATGCCCATAAGAAGAAAAAGGGGAATCCACCAGACAAGGCTTTCACATTGCCGTCCCTATTTTCATATTGCAAGTGTGTGTGTGTGTACGCATATATGCATGCAAGCATCATGTACGTATGTGTGTGTATAGCATGATTTCAATATCCACAATATTGGCCAAGTCAACGTACTAAACATATATACAACCTTTGATGATAAAGTAAATCTTAGTAGGAACATTTGAAGATTTAACTCATCCTTAAGTAATGTCAACACAATTTGATCCAAGGCCAACATTTTAAGCATTCTTATTTCAATATATATATATATATATATATATATATATATATATATATATATATATTTGCCAACTTCCCTTGCCTACAATATTCCATCAACTAGAGGCTATTCACCTTGGTGACATGATGTCTTGTAACTTGTCCCAAAGTTTAGCATTCACCAATCAAAATGCATCAACTTATAATCCATTCATATGACGAAGTTTGAAATCAAAAGAAATGTTTTCTAGCATCCTAGTTCTGGTTCATGGTCTCGAAATAACTCAGACGCTCAAAAACAAGTCCGCATCAGAACACAATGTTATATAATCCTTTCTAACTTCCAAGATCAAAAAGTTCATCATCAACCCTTTCAAATCAATGCAGGCATTTTTCTTCTTAATAATGAGGCAGATTGTGTTCTTTGTCAATTATAACAAGGTATCATTTGCTTGCTTGATTTGGAATATAAAAATGAGATTTCTTACAATGATTCATTATTTGAGATGCTTCTGAAATTGTATGTAAACAAGAACTATACAGATCAATCCCTTCTACTTAAAGATGCAAATAGACGAAGAGCTTTTCATCACTCCAGAAGTACATAATTTGAATCTGACTAATGCTACAAGAAAGGACCTAAGGATCAAAACAATAAAATACCTGCAAACTTGATACTGCAATCTCTGCTGCCTTGTCAAGATTGTCAGGATATTTCTGAGCAAAACAAAGAGCATCTATTAAAAGATTAAACCTTTATATATTGGGTTAAGGCAGGAGTAAAATCAAGAGAATTACATTACTCCACCCAAGTAGAAGTGCAGTCATTAGATCTCCTGTTCCCTACAGACATTTGGATGTTCATCAGCATAATCATTTGCAATACAGCACAGTGAGTATACAAAGAATGAAGTACAAGCAACAAAAGAGAACACAACAATATCCTACTATTGTTGCAAATAAAGCTAATATGCAATGTAAGAATGAGAAAAATTTATTAAAATCATCTGCAGGAAAGGGGAAAAACAACTGAAAAGCAAATTGTTTTTCGTTGAAGTAATTCTTTAAAGTGTATGATTAAATCTTCTTGCAGGATCAATTTTGCAACAAATTAAGGGTCAATGAAGCCTTAGTTTGTTATATTCAAGTACTCCACAATTATCGAAATTCAGAAGGCTCCAAAGATTTTCAATAATGGACTTTCGGCAGTTATAGTGTCTAAGAAAATGGAGTTTAATGATTGAATTATCACAATTTTCAATAGTTCCAGCAAAAATGTAATCTATGAAGAGAACATATGATAAGCAGAGATCTATAATGGTGCTGATAGGTCCAGAGATCTATTATATGACCCCACAATACACGGCTTTTTCTAGGATATACCTTCCGGATATATAAAGCTGTGTTCACATCTGCAGTAAGAGATAAATTAATACAATCATGATGTCAAGAAAACCCTTATATAATAATGTTTTTCTCCTACAATAATTTTATCTCATCAAGCACACTACTAGTTGAAAAATGTTAATGTGACATTAGAATTGCATGTTTGGCCAACAAGAATCATGTGATGATAAAAGTCTGCTTTTTCGCTTTAGCAATACTTGTATTGTTTTAAGACTAAATTTAGACAGTTGTTCACTTCTATTATGAATTATTAACAGACTCCTGACTACTAGAGGGATGGAAACACAGTCATCAAAATTTGCATGGCAGTCAATGTTGTTATATCTTCTTAAGTCAATTCAACCAGTATGCACGGTTAATCAAACACTTACCTTTAGTCAAAGACAAATCTTTTCATAGTCAAGAGGCCAATGCTAATAATATATTCAACATAGATTTGGCATTAAATAAACCTTTCTATACTCATTTATTTGACAGTGCATCAATAGATTGATTAGACAAAATTTATCCTCTTCGGAAGCCAGAGACCAAATGCAAAGATTCATCAATAACAAAAAAGTCATGGCTCAATGGAAAAGTGTCCCTCTTGTGCTTGATAGGTCATTACTAAGTAGTTTAATTTATTTGTGTTCCTGAACACCATTGTCTATAACCACAAACCGAAAGTCCCTTCATTTTAACCCCAAATCAAAAACAAAGCCTGAGTAGACAGACAGTAACTCAGTAGTGCTTTGTTCATAATTGGATAAACAGTTTGTGAAGAATAAAAGAAATAGTACCAGAGAAAAGAAACCTAGCTTGGTTGCTATCATTGGCTACAAAGCTTGATTGCTACCTGCTAACTTGCTAAAGCATTAGTTCTAAGGCCAAGCTAGAGGTTGAAATCTCTACAACCTCTAGGCAAATTAACTTTCTAAAAATCGCCAGGTATCAACACAAACAACCATAAAAGGAATGGTGCACAAAAAAGATGAAATAGCTTTAAGACCGAATTATCATTGAATAAAAAAGTTAATATCAACAAAATATTTTCAGCAGCACACAATTACTAGCACTACATAACCATTTTTCAATTTGCAAGAAAAGGGATTCACGAGGAAATTTTACATACTGTAAAATATGCAGGAATTCTCGGTATCAGAATCTTGAATTGCTCAGGTGCATGTTCCTATTAAATTCAATACCACAATAAACAGAGACAAGTTTGTCAGAATTCTTGAACAGTTATGAATAAGATAAAACTACCAACAAAAAGGGTGTATCAGTTTGACCATGAGAAGAAAAAAGCAGAAAATAGACAGCACAAATTGTTGTTTATCAGTGCACATTTTGCTGATAATCAAGAATCAAGATATCAAATTGGAGCTGAACATTACCACAAGGCTAAAAAATTTTAAAATGAAAGTGTCAAAAAATCACAAACAAAAATCAGAAAGTCAAACTAGTGTAATTACTTCCATTCAATGCAACAATTTATTATTCCCTCCCTCCCCCCCTTTTTGAAAGGATCAAAGAGAGTATTGAATACGGTTTTTTATATAAGCATTTTTTTGGAGGCAAATAGCAATCTATGATAGATTCACCAAGTCATTTTCATTTAGCCAATTTCATGCACAGAATTTTTTAGGAACATTAATCAGAAACTCCATCAATTTCAAATCAACTTCATGCATGAGGTCTTTGTCCTTTACTCTCCAATTTTACTCTTTAAGTTCCATAAAAGCTAGAGGGTGGCCCACCTAAACCAATGCGGTTTATTTGAAAAGAAATGATTTTGTAACAGTCAGTTAGAATATTTTATCAACTTTTGGGAAAGTGGACATTTCTGCAACAGATATAGTGAGTCAGACATTCAATTTGAAGTGGAGGAAGGTATCATTTTTTTTTTCTTGGTATGAAGTATGCATGTGAAATTTTGAATACCCATTTAAGTCATGGCAGCTACCGGTTTTATATTGATATCCTAGACCTTTTTATCATAATGAATTCACAATGATCACCTTTATGATAGCAGAGACAGTATAAGAAGCCAGCCCAATATGTGAGGAGGATGCTAACTCCAAAACTCATTGAATGCTTCCTTAGTTCAGAATAAAATATCAGAAACATATACCTTTCTACTTTTACAGTTCTACTCCTAGGTCAATAGAAGGCAGAATATTCAGTCCCTCCTTTCAATCTTTGACTCAATAAGAACGACACTTGAACATCAAAATGTAGTCCTTTAGCCACAATTTATCTATAACGAAAGATAAGACAAACAAGAAGAATAAATATGATGTAAATAATGTGTTTGCACTTTTTCAGCACTGAAAAAGCTCTTTCTTGCTGTATTATGCAGAAATGCCAGTATGAACAAATTACCGCTAAAAGCAGCAAGTGTAAGAACATACAATCACATCAACTGCACCAGATATTAATGATATATTACATTTTTAATGAATCTGCACCTACAATATAAAGTCAAGAGCACAGGATCATATTTCAGCCAACCCACCTTATCTTTCTGATGACTGCCAATGAGAAGAAGATTGCCTTCAATATTGATGCTAGTAATAACAACCTGAGATGATCAAAACTCACAGAATATGGTATAAAGCATATATGAGAGGCAGTCACATTCACATGCAGTTCAAGCTAAATAAACAGAAGATAAAGTAAAGGAAGAGTTTACTTATGTAGAAGGATAACATTAGGTTTTCTCCCAACCCCAGAACAAAAATGGATTGGAAGAGGCCATGAATAAAGCACATTTGCTTATGAAGTAATTTCCACCAACATAACAGGAGCCACAGAACCCATTCCATCTTCATCATATAAGATTTGCGAAAGTCATGAAAATAATGGACTAATATCATGTTTTCCTAGAGTTCAGACTTTAGGATATGTGCCTTAAAGCAGAGTTACACCCTATCTCAGCCTCTCTTTTTCTTAGTCTTTAATCTGTCTGTAATCATATCTACGTTGCCAGAATTATTTTGGAGTTAATTCTACAATCCACTGTTAAGGTGACGGCACCGAAAGCCTCCTGATTTTAAAGAAATCTCCTTTTCATAAGATTATAATGAAGGAAAAAAAACAATTAGCCAGTTTTCCACTACGTGCAGATTGATAAGGTAAAAGAAATTAAGATAGAGATAATGAGCTCTAATGTTCAAAGTTATAAACCTTGAACAGGTACAAGATGCCAAAAAAAACGAACCTTTGAAGGCCCAGCAGCATGAAGAATGTTACAAGCTTCCCGACCATCTGTTTCAGAACCAATCCTGCAGCAACTAATATTCTAAGAAACTGCAACAGAAGGCTGAAGATGCGGCCAAAAAAAAGCCTACTGCCATAAAATATGGCTAGACAGGTCTCAAATAGTAACTCCATCTGATACAAATTGCTACCAAAACAAAATGGAGATTCTAAACAATGATTATAATGTTCAAATCCTAGTGTAACATATAGTAAGACTTGGTGAAGAGAGAGAAATAACCATGTGTTTGTGGCAACCTTACAAAGATAAACAGAAAAGAATATAAGTTGAAAAGAAACTAAACCAACAAACCTCTTCTTAGAACCAAGGATTGTCAAGTTGGATGGCCTCTAAAGTGCTAGAAAGAACAAGCACCATTTTAGGCAAGAGCCAAAATGTTGACCTCCTAGCAGGCCAGTTTGGGTGTTCAAGCATATTCAGCCCAAAATAGGGTGAATAAAATCCAAATTTGGCTAAAGAAGGCATGGTAGCATGACCCTAAGAATCTGTTTCTATTCCTGCTCCTTCAGTAAAAACCTATTCGTTTGAGTTATATGAATTACTTGGCCTGATTCAGCATTGAAAAGGATGGTTTTACTCGGCAGACAATTAGCAAACTGGCAAAAAGATATATATAATAATAATAATAGTAAAACATACAACCGAAAGGTTACCATCAAGCATACATGAAATAGAAGAACTGCTTACTTCGAATTTCCTTCATTTCTATTAATTTATCCAAGCCTGATAATTAAAGAGCGACCTTTTTTTTTTTTTAAAAGGAAGAGTGACTTGTCCAAAAGCTTGACTACACATCTCATAGTCTACAAAGATGAAATCTCCTTCCAAAGATCTAGTTAGTAAATGAGGCCATTAGAAACTCTAGAAACACCTCAGTGAAAATCCCAATGAACCATAATCACTGAAGCATAATCTCTGATTCTAGGCATACATAGCACTCCCTAAAATAGTATCTATTTCTCCATTGAACCATGTAAAGAGAAGAAAAACCAAGCAATTCTCCTCAAAATCATAACTGATGCTTTGCATTTAGCATAAAAACACAGAACATTTAAAAACCCGGTTCTTTTTTTTTTTTTTTAAATATAAATCAACCCAGAAAGAATATGAGAATTCAAATTTTGGAAATCCTTTTGTAGATCACATATCTCTAAGATATCAACCTCTTTGAAAGTGTCAGAAAATACCTCAATTTAGTCAAGAGTTCTGCTTCAAACTGGTTAGGAGTCAACATTGAAGCCACTGGGACAACCTAACATAAAGAGTGTTACTGATAAGTATAACAAATTACCAACTATAACTTGAACAGCTAATTTTGCATCAAGATACATAGGTTTCTTTCAGGCTGAATAAACAAATGATTGCTATTTAAGCTCCCAATTTAAAAGTTCTAATCAACTCATATATCAAAAGTGTGGTTCCCGATGGGTTTACTGAAATGAAAGTATGAAACAACCATATCCCAGAAAATTGAAAATGCACATAAATGATATAGAAATGGAAAACTTGGAAGCTTTCAGATAACAATTGATTGCTCACCTTTTTGCAATATACTGATACGAGATCTTCAGGGACATAGAGCTTTCCTTCATCACCCATTACTGGATCACAAACTATACAAGAAATGCCAAGCCTTAGACAAAAAAAAGCCTCTCTAAAAAAAAGCCTCTCTTTTTCTTTTTTTGTATGGGAAAGTAGGTGATGGGGGTAGAGCAGTGTATATACAAGGTAAATAGCAGTTACATATAAAGTCAAAATAGCTTTCAACCTTTATTCTTACAACAGAGGTAGATATTAACGATCATGATTGCAGAACAGAAAAGGTTTTAACTGGAAAACATTTTATTTAGTATCACATTAAGTTAACAGAAAAAGGATGAGGAAATTTTGCAAGGTTCTAATTAAAGTTAAAGTAGTGAAGCATTTCAATTTCTACATCCATCAGCTTAAACTTTCTTTCTTTTTTTTTTTTTGGTTTTTTCAGTATTAGTTATTTCTTAAACCTACATTTTTGTCTCAAATTGGTAATTTCACATTATGCAAGCAAAAGGTAAGGAATGCAATCTCGATCAGTTATATGATTAAATGAGGATTTGAACAAATCATCTTGTTTGATCACTGGCTAAATAAATTTCAAAAAGCACCAAATACAAGCAATCAATGCTTAAAATAAGGTCCAAAAACTTCTGGAGATCAGAGTTGTCTACTTGCCGTAAGTAAGATTTGGATTTACAGAGCGAAGCTTATCTACAACCTCCAATATTGTGTTCAAAAAAGAAACAGAACCAATATAACCTGCAAATTCACCAGGACAAAATAGATGCAATAGATATTAGAATAGATAAACATGGACTATTGATAAGAAAATGTGATGTTAACCTTCTACCCCAACATTTAAACATCAGTGTAAATACTTCAATTCAAACAGGACAGAGACAATTTTTTTTAGCAACAAGAAGTAAATCCACTTGATGATTGCAGAAACAGAGAAACAAAAAAGTGAACAGAAACAAATGATGTTGTGCAGCCATTTCTAATGACATAAATAAAGAACATTTACATGCCTCAGTGATGAAGTCAAATATATCGATACAACTGCCTAGCATATTCAAGCCTAATATCTCAAAGCATTGATGCATAACTCACACACTGAGATGAATTAACCAATCAAAGAACAATTATATTAAGTTGATGTAGAATTTTAGTTATTTGTACATTTTTAGTCAATTATGATTTTTTGCCTTTTAGCAATTCCTTTTACTTGATAGCAACTTTTGAGGAAGCAAAAAAACAAGTACTAAAATCAACAACCAAAAAAAGCCTAAACAAATTAAGAGATTGTTTCATCGCTCAGAAACTATCATTTTAAATGTTATATCCTTTCTTCTTCTTCGTCTGCCCTCTCTCCCCCCCTTGAAATGGACATGATTTTATACCATTCAGGCATTCATTGCTAAGAAACTATGACTTTAAATGCTAACTCCTTTCTTCTCTGTCCCCTCCCCCATCCCTTTATCAAGTTAAATATATGTCCAAATGGCAAAAGCTACGTTACAAATAAGAAATAATAAAATAACAGAAATCCAGTACAAAAGCATCCAATGTTAATACTTTTGCGACACAAGTTGTTATATATCCAACATAGAATGTGTTTCTTTGTTTCCTTTCTCTATAGTGGGCAGAAAATTCCAGAGAACCACTCCAAAACATAGCAGAGAATTTCTCTACTTTTCGAATAATGTTATACATTCCTTTTCTTTTAAATATTGTACAAGAATCTTTTTCTTTTTTTGATAAATGAAGGATATAATATATAAAAGTCTAGAGAGAATTATAGCATGAAGCAGCTACAATCATCAAAGCAGCAACCAGAATTAAGATACCTGTTAATAAATGAGTGTAGTATAATAAATCATTTGCTTCAAGGCCTTCTATTAAATCCCATAATTGTTGTCCATTCAAAACTTGACCCTTAAATGTTGGGTATCCTGCACAATTTTGAGATAGATTAAGCTATGCCCCGTACGTATTATAGTCAGAACAAGCCTCAACTTATAAAGATTGACAGCTGACATCGCAACAATTGATAGCCTCAGATTTCTGACTTTTGAGTAGTAGTATAAGCAGCTTGCCTGTATGATTTGAAAATTGTACTGAATTGATTGGATCCACATCATAGCCTAATAGTTGGAGAGGAAAGACTGCTGACTTATTTCCAACATATCCCTGAGGAAAAAAAAAGAGGAAATTAAGTTTCAATAGGAATAAAATTTATTGTAAATTTTTTTATTATATAAGAATTTTTCTTGCCACATAAAGAAATTAGATGAAAGTAACATCAATCATACAACACATAAATAGCTCAATTGTACACTTCCAAGGTTCCTTTAATTGCTTTTAGGGAGAAAAATAAGAATTTATTAGAAATGCTTTCAGAAATAGATAAGAACAATTCAGTGTCCTAGGTAATTACCAAAATATTGAAAGAACTTATCACAAAAGCAGGACCCAGTTTGTGACAATATGAAATGGTGGTTCTATAGATATTAAGAAGTACAATAACAAGACATAAAAGCAGTGATCAAAGCTAGACTGTCTTCTTTATAATACAAATCTAAGAAACAAACACAATACTCTTAATGCCCAAACATGGATGCAAAGAATAGACAAAAGTATACTGAAAGCACAATAACGATCGCCATATTGCTTTAAAACTCTACAATAACTCACTCCCACATTTTGTATCCCAATAAAATTATAGTGAAAAGGATGTCCAAAAATGCATTAAATTAAAGAATATGCAATGCCTTGAGAATTACTATCTTGGAGGGTTCTTAATTTTACAACTATGATTACCTTTTCTAGTTGCAGCTTTTCACTATCATCATTATAGTGCATCATCAATACAGTAAGTTATTCAATTACATAAACTCCCAATAGAGACAGTGTTTGCATATTGAAAGTAATATAAAAGAGGTTGCCCACATTGGTGAGAATTTCGTATTTCATTATAATTTTCACAAAGGTATTGAATACAGACAACAAGTATGCAGTTGTAATTATGACAGCAAACAAGTAAAGGCATAGCTGATCCAATATAGCAAGACAGCCAAAATTCAATATAACGGCCAGGAAAAGTACAAATAGTTATCTTCAATATTAATATCTCTATATTGACAATCTGACATCATTTCACTTGTCGGATAACTCAAGTTACCTTACAAGGGTCTCCAACTTCACTGAAATTAGACAAAAGACAACAAGTGACAATTACCCTCCCTCCCCAAAAAAAAAAAAATACAAACCCACAAAACAAATAATCATGACAAAAGGCAATGAATAGAAATATTTGAAAGCCTACTAGTTTCATATATGTAATGTTTACAGAATAATTCCTTTTTCCAAGTAACATAGATAATTTGACCTTCTAGCTCCTATGTCTTTTGAGGTAAGAATACCCATTACGTTAGGCGTTTTCCAATGCCAGTAATACACCATGTGCATTTAAGTGGATCTGTAGTTCATAAGAGTATTGTCCCATTCTACTTCTTACAGTAGAATGTAAAACTTTATTTGGACAAGTTACTTGAGTAAGGGGTTTTTTCCTCTCAATGTCAATAGGGTAAGAATAAAAAAAGATAAGATTCTCCTTATTTATATCCATAAATATCCAAAGTTTTAGGAGGAAAATAAAAAAAAGAAAAAAGAAAAATTATACAGCATAGGAACAAGCTTTAAATTCTTATTACTACTCTTCAACTATACTATTCCACACAAATTTCTTCATATCATCCCTCCAAGAAGCAAATTATACATCATTCAAAATTTCCTTCTTGGCTTGGTTCCTCGTTAATGTCTCTCTCTCTATCAACCACCCAACTAGTAAAACTAAGAACATATATAAATAAATAACTTAAACAAGTAATGCTACTTCTCCCTCCAACTCTATCTCAACTATTTTACTCCCTATCATGGCATAGTTATCATAGGAATTTAAAGGTGAGATCGACCAATTCATAAGTAAATCTACTCAGTAGAGTTGACAGAATAAATTATTAACACGTTAAATAAGGCAACTAGCATTTTTCAGGAAAAAATTCATTTTTCTAGATTATGTTTATTAATTTTCTGAAAGTTAAACCATACTTTCACAATCTTTGACTTTCAATGCATCATGTGGATTAAGTTCAGTAAAGGTAAAAAGAATAATTTCATAGAAATTAAAAAAAAAAAAAAAAGGAAAAGGAGAAGGAGAAGGAAAAATCATATTTTGTTAAGTCAAGATTAATCTTCATCATCATTTTCATTTTTCTTCAACACTCTCAGCAACCAAACAGGGGACAAAAAAAAGTAAAAGAGTAAAACACAAAGGAGAAACAATACCTGAACTGTGTGAGATTGAATGCTGAGAACTCTACCAGTCTCCGAAGGAAGAACCAAGGATAAAATTGGAGGCGTCGCCATTTCTGACTTCCTTGAACTTCGACAAATTCCAAAACCAACTCATCACTATAGTAATCAATAAAGAAACAAAAAGAAAAGAAAAAACAAAATCGTTTAAATAATTAAATTTTGCAGGAAAATTATAATTTTGTCAGGAAAATCTTTGAAAATTTACCGGGAAGTATCTGTCCTTCGTCGGAAAATGCCTGATTGAAAAGAACGGCCGGCGAATGAAGAGAGAAGCAGCGGCATAAAAGAAAGTTGATTTAAAAGATTTCGTGTTGTTTTGGCGAAGAATTTATAGTAAAAAACATGTCACGTGCGGTTGATGTTAAATTACAAAATGCCATCGCTTTTTCAACGGTGGTTGGTGAGACTGTTAGAGTTGAATTTAGAACTTTAAATGAATGATCATTTAACAAAATTTTTTTTATCTAAAAATAAATTTAAAGATTTATTTAGGTATTTTTAAATAGTAGATCTTAGTTTATAAAATCAAATTTTAGATTCAAAAATATGGTTATGCATGAAAAATGTTATAACACTTTTATAGAATCCATCCAAAAGATGATACCAGTTTGATTTTAAATTATTCAAATCTTAAAATATTCTTGTAATTTAATCAAATTATTTAATTATTGAAAACTAATCTTAAATTTGCTCCAATAGTTTGACAGTAATTTAAGATAATTTTCTCACTTCAAGAGTATTTATAGAGATTAGTGTCTCACTTCGAAGAAGTTTCATCATTAGGTTTATTAATATATTTTTATTCGAGAAAATAATTAGTAAAATATTCTAATAATTTGGAAAGATTTATTTTGATACAGATCTCTCAATAATTTGAGAAGATTTCATTGTAAATTTATTTTTAAAAAATATATTAAGTCTTCTAATAATTTGGTAAATTTTAATTTAAGATTTAAATTTTTTAATGGTTTGGTAAGATTTAAAAATATTTTTGGGTTTTTTAGACTCTTTTTTAAATTAAAACTCAAATAATATAAATAAAAATTATAATGCAAAACTTATCATGCAAATAAATATAATATATAAATTATCATGCAATTAATATAAAATATCATGCAAATATATTAAACTTTATGCCAAAATAAGAACTGAAAATAAATTAATAAAAATATCATGCAAAAAATAAATATATTTTTTATAACGTTAACACAATCAAAGTAATAAATATTAAAATATAAAAACAAAAAAAATAGAAAAAATCAAAAACAAAAAATAAACAAAAAAAGAAAAAGACAAACTTGTGCTACTAGTCGAATAAAAAAATGGGTCTTTACGCGGGTCAACTGGATCTAACTATTCCAAAATGGCATCGTTCTGATGTGAGTATAAAAACCAAAGTTTTGTTTTTTCATTCAAACCAGCCTTCACCTCTCTCTCTTTAAAAACACTTGCTCTAACTTTTCTCTAAGTCCCCCCATTGAAAACTTCAAAGTTTCCCAGACCCTAGCCAAAAATCCAGTGTTCGACACCAAGAAATTTAATCAACCATCGGAAACTTCAAATGTTTCCAAAAAAATTGATGAACCAAGAACACTGCCCAAAAATCACCATTCCAACCACCATGACTTCATTTGAATCTTCAAATACCACTAAAAAGTTTTTAAAAACGAAAAAAAAAACCAATAATTTTCAAAAATTCAAATTAAACCCCATACATTCATACAAAAAATACTCGAAATCTTCTTTAAAAAAAAATGAAAAACTAAAATCCAGAGAGAAAATCCCAAACCTAACCCAGAAAACTCCAAATCCCAAAATTTCCCAACCCAAACTAAAGTCAAAGCCCTAATTTTCATAAAACTTTGATAAGTTCCAACAATCTCAATTTCCAAATCCCAAAAATTTTAGAATAAAAAAAAAAGCCCTAAAACCTACCTAGCAAACTCCCCAAAGATTCCCAAAAATAAAAAAACCTAAAAAAAAAAAAAACTCCTCTCCTTTTCCAGGAATCACTAAAAAAAATCCCCCTCACCATTTGTGGTTTCTGTTCATTTATAGCGATTAAGTCCTTTTAATTCTGGAAATCAAATTGACTATGATCTGGGATGTGATTTGATTGTCTAATTTTATTGTGAATTTCATTATATAATTAAATCCCAAAATTTCTCCAAATCATGTTCATCGGATTTCATTGAAACTTTCCTTTCTTTTTTTTTTTTTACTTTTTGAGAAAAAGTAAAAAAAGTAAAATTAAAATTAAGTTAAAAAATAAAAATTTTCAATTGGGCCCAAAGTTTCCCAATCGAGCCCATTTTACAGTCAAAGCTTATTCTTTGGTCTTGCAAAAATAATGAACAAAATAGGGTGTTTACAGTTGCCCTTTTTTGCATAGTTTCTGTGAAATAGAAATTACACAAAGACAAAAGCATCCATTTGGTTTAGGTCCAAAAAAATTGAAAACTTTTAACTTGAAATCCAAAGGTTTACAATTTAGAAATTCAAGAGTTTGTCATAAAACTACAAAGATTTGTAAAACTCCATAACAAAAACTAAAAAAGTTCAAGACTCCAAGATTTGCAAAATATTTGTAATAATTTCAAATTTTGCAAAGATTCAAGATTCGTAAAGGTTTCCAGATTCATAAAGATTTTCAAATTCGTAAATGACTTAAGATTCTCAAAGGTTTCAAAGATTCAAGATTCGCAAGATTTCAAGTTTTGTAGAGGTTCCAGATTTGCAAGATTCCAAGTTCACAAGGATTTCAGATTTGACAAAAGGGAAGATTTGTAAAAATTTAGATTTGTAATAATTCTTAAGAGTTTTAGATTTGCAAGAATAGGAATATTTGCAAGGATTGAAATTCTCAAGAATTTGTAAGAGTTTCAGATTCACAACCAATGGAATATTCATAAAACTTTTAGATTCACAAGAATTTTTAGTTCACAACAATTGAAAGATTCGTAAAAACTTAAAAAATTCACAAGAAATTCATGTTCGTAAAAAATTCAGGTTCACAAGAATTTCAAAGATTCATAAGAGCTTCAGTTTCGCAAGAAATTTAGGTTCGTAAGAAATTCAAAAATTCACAAAAAATTCAAAGATTCGCAATAGCTTCAATTTTGCAAGAAAATCAGGTTCACAAGAAATTCAGGTTCACAATAATTTTTATCATTGTAAAGATTCACAAACTGTAATTCACAAACAATATTAAAATATTCACATTCAAAAGATAAAAAAAAATTCATGAATTCACATCAAAGATTTCAAAGCTCACCTCTAAAATTAAAAAATTCTCATTCGAAAATTTAGGGATTTAAACCCAAAAGTTAAAATTTTTATTCAAGAAATTTAAGGATTCATATCCAAAATTTCAAAAATTCTTATTCAAAAAATTTTGGGATTCACATCTAAAATTTCAAAGGTTCTTTTTAAAAAACTTTATGGCTTTACACCTAAATATTCTCATTTGAAAAAAAATTAGGGCTTTGCACCCAAAATTTCAAAGATAAAGGCTTTATAACTTTAAAATTTTGGAAAGTTTTCCTTGTAAAAAAAAAAAAACTCATTATGGAAAGCCATCTTCATTCGAGGATTCAAAAGTCGAATCAAAATCAAATTCTTATATGTAATAAATGTAAATGCAAATGTCTTCCACATGTTATAAATGTAACAATCTAGATTCTTACTAAATGATGCACTTGCCAATGTTCTACTATAATTCAAATGTTCTTTACATAAAGCAAACGCATGCCCCAATAATGATGCAAATACAATTATCAAGGATTTAAATACAATATCAACACAATGTTTGTAATGCAAATATCACTGACTCAATGTCATGAAGTTCTAATTGTGGTAACAAGGTTCTCAAGACTCCATCATTCCTTCTTCGCTTCTTAACATTAATGATTTTAGAGTAAATTCCATTATTCGATCCATGTTATTTTCCTCATCTGGTTATAACTTATAGGTTATGTTAACCAATCCATCATTATTATTACCATTGAGTTATCTCATTTGCCCTTTTCAAATCATCTTCTTAAGCTTCTTTCACTTTCTCATCTTAGATTTCTTTCAAAAGAATGGAAAATCTTTTATTAACATTGTCATTCATTTATTTATCATCATTCTAATTCATGACAAACATGATTCATTTTCTTGAATCATTCAATGGATGCACATTTGGTGAAGAATAAGAAAAATAGGTCTTTATTATTGAAAAAAAAAAGAGGTATGGTCAAGAACAACTCAAAGATAAACGAAAGCAAAATGTTGTGACTATGTAAATGAGATATCAACATCCAAAATAATGACTGTTTAGACAATTTTGAACTCAAACTTAAAATCCTATTTCAAAAACACATTTCATCAATATCCTTAATCCTTGAGCCAATCTTCATCCTCATTCCTAGGATCTTTATATGAAGCTATTTTTTCAAGTTTTCATCTTTACTTAAACCGTTTTTTCGGGTTTTCAGTTTAAGTTCTTTTTTCTACTTTTTTTTTCATTTTTTTCATTTTTTGCACACCCATTTTTCATCTTTTCTTTTTAGTTCTTTTTTCTTTTTAATCTATCAATGATACTTTGATCAAAACTCTAACCAATCTAATGATAAATCTGCCTTAATTCAATTCATGATTCTCTAATTTAAGTATTCACATTTGATCAAAATAGATTTTTAAGGGACATAATGTAGGCTAGGGTGATGGATTTTGAAATAAAAAGATAAAATAGGCCCAAAATTGTATTTGAAGGGTTATCAAACTATAGATCATTTCTTTTCATATATAGCACTTTAACATTTTGTCCTATCAATTTCTCTTTCATTTTCATTTTTTTTTCTTTTTTTTTCTTTTTTTCATCATTTTTCAAGAAAATGTTAAGCATAAAAGGGCTTTGCCTTTGACATCACTAAGGATCTCAACTTTTCAAACTTTTTCAAACTATGCCTCCAATGTGGGGGGTAATCCTTCATTAAGTTTCTTGAAAAAAAATTTTAATAAGCTCAAATGAGGTAGTGAAGGGAAATTTTACTCTTTTTGTGAAGGATAAAAGAAAGATAGCCATTTTTCATCTCAAATATAAATACTCTTAATGAAGAACATTCATTGATCAAAAAACAAAGATTGCATTATGCATCAACTTCATTTTTTAGTGAGCCAAATTTATCTTATTTTATTTAACAATCCTAATAAATCAGTAATCTCAATTTATTAATCATATAATCATGAATGATATTTTTAAAATCAAATCTTAAATTATTGTTATGACTGTTTAAACATTCATTTTT